GGACGCCTATTCTTGAAGCAAAGAGAAGGGAGTGCTCCCGGGGAGCTTTCAGGGAATGTTCCCTCATTTCTATTCCCCGACAGGAAAATGTCACATTCTTGAAATATTGAAAGCGCTAGGGAACATAAAGGAGGGAGCAGTACCTGGGGAGCAACGTTGCCAGTTTAGTCAACCAATAGAGTCGCAGGAAATTTTTGACATTCCATATTTTTTCATTAACCTCATTTTCAGTAACGTTTTGTTTACATTTTAAGTCATTTTACATTTCATTGTTTATCTTTTAAAATGGATGTGAAATCTAGGCAATTGAGTTCTAAACAGAAAGAGACCCTGGTAAATTTTGTATACGCCCGGCCTGACATGTATAAGGGCAAATTAACCGGCACTTATACAAATGCAGTAGCAATGGCATTGTGGAAAGAGGTAACCTGCATGCTAAACGCAATTCCTGGAGGGGCTACAAAGGATTGGAAGCAGTGGAGAAAGGTAGGTTGTTTGGGTATGTTTTGTGTAGACTAGGTCCCTTGGGGACAGCATAATTTCAGTCGAGATTTTAGTAAATGAACTGCAAATTTCATTCTACATATTTTAAACTTTAACTTTATTAACAGACATGGACGGATATTAAAAAGAATGTCAAAAGTAGAAAGACTAAGGAGCAACGATATAGTCAAGGGACAGGAGGTGGTCCACCATTATCTCCTCCCGACCCAGAGACCTGTGACGATAAATCAATTGACGACAAAATCTTAGAAATAATTACACCTGTTGCAATCGAAGGAAATGAGGATGTACCCGAACCGGACATTATATTTGACACTATTATAAGTGGAAGATCAAGTGAAACCACAGAATTGCCAGCACACTCAAGTACTGTAAGTACCTAATTATTGAACAGCTTTATTGGCGGTTAAGGAATATTAATGTCGTTTCATATTGATTTGAATTGGAGTTGATAAAATAATTCCATATGTGCATGATTTTGTGTAAATCTGAATTTATTTTTTCACCATAAAATGATAAGAAATATAATACGTACATAATTTCCAAGTATAACTAATTTTTGATAATATGTTGTAATTATCTTATAATCTTCACCATTCTAGGTAATAGAGGAATCTATGGAAATCTTGCAGAAAAATGCCATGCCTGATGAAGTAGGGGAGGATATCATGCTACACCATGATTACAGTTTATCTTTACCTTCAACAAGTAAAGCAGATCCAGTACCTGTATCGGCTAAAAAACAGCCGATGAAGGGTATGAAAAATCGATACACAAAGTCGGCAAGGTTGGCCGACTCAATATCGAATAATAAAAAATTTCTTGCAATAAGCCAGAAAGGCATTCTTTCTACCGAACTGTACAGGGAGAAAAAGTTAGAAGTAATGAAGAAGCACTGTGAAAATAAAGCAAATTATTATAAACAAAAAATAGATGCTAGTGAAAAGCATCATCAAGAAAATTTTAAAGTTTTGTCAGAAATTTCAAATTCTTTAATTAAAATGTCTTCCAAATAGATTATTATTGATTTAGCGAGTGATGTAGAAACAGATTGATTTTTTTTCCTGTGATAACAATCTGGTGAACTGTTTTTTTTTAGAATTACATTATTTATTTTGCTGAATTTATTATTTTATTATTAGTAAGTATATACCTAAATGATTTTGTCTGGTTAAACATCTTTAACTCCTACCTATAAACTAAAGACAAGATACTTGAATACGCCTAACAATCGTAATATAATACTAATTTAGATCTATGTAACATACTTATGAATTAACAAAAAAGTACTTACTCTTGTATTAACATTAACTAACTATTATGTACAATCAAACTTACTCATTAAAATGATTTGCAATAATGTTCTGCTGCAAATCCCTTGCAGCTGCCAAATCAGGGTTAACTACCCGTTGGATGTTATTGTTAAAGTTTGGTATATTATACATGCCATAATCAGGCTCTTCTATATGAGGATCATCTGGTTCTGGTGTATTTCTAACAATGCATAAATTGTGGAGAACACAACATGCATTTACAATTTTGGCAGCTGTTGTTGGGTGATAGTGTAAAGTGCGATACCTTAATAAACATCTAAATCGATTTTTAAGTACACCATTACACCGTTCAATGATGGACCTTACAGAACATACTCTTTCATTATACTGTTGTTGTCCAGGGTTTTCAGGATTTAATATCGGAGTTAATAACCATGGGCGAGTAGGATATCCTAAAATTAATTAATCACAATATTGTACTATACAAGTCAGGTATTTATGTTCGTTTTTTTTACATTCTCCCAAGCCTCACCTGAGTCGCCTAGCAAGAGAAAAACGTTTGCAGGATCTCTCCTATATAACTGTTCCATTAAATTGGAGACTGCACATTGTCTCCAAATGTGTGCATCGTGAGTAGAACCTGGGAATCTTGCAATTACATTTAATATTTTCAGGTTGTGATCACAAATCTTAAAGAAGAGTATATGTCAGTAATTTTTGGTTTTTCCTTCTAATAAACATACCAGTTGTACATTAAGTGAATGATAATTTTTCCGGTTCACATATATATGCTCAGGAACATGCTCATCATTAGCATGTGGAGCTACAACACTCACATGAGTACAATCAATGCACCCAATTACCCCAGGAAATCGATACTTTTCATAAAACCTAAAAAAAGTTAAATGAAAAATTATAAATAAAAAAGACCAGAATTAAATTGCTACAAATAGAAATTAATATTTATATTTACTTAGTTCGAAGATTTTGTAACTCTTCAACATTTTGAGGGAACCTTATTTCATTGTTTAAAATTTCAGGCCGATTCAAGGCATTTGTGACTTCATTTACAGCTCGACTAACTGAAGGCTGGCTAATGGCCACAAAACTGTTTGAGCCAGTAATTTCTTGATAGCTGCCTGAACCATAAAACCTCAAAGCAGCAAGTACCTACATAAATAGATAATAATTAACATTTCCATTCGCATAAAACGAATAAATAAGTCTAGGTATGTGAGCATGCTTTGATAAGCAACTATACTATTTTCTTATCTACCTTGGTTTGTATAGACAAAGCAGAGGTTCTTGAAGGGTGAATTAAAAAGGGGCTAACCATGTCAATTATTTCATGACACAGGTCCTTATCCACCCTAAACAACTGAACAAATTTTCTGTCCGATAATTCAAATGGATTGGTCTGAGACAAAACGTCCCTCCCAATAGCCACATGTGCTGCTGCTTCCTCAATATTCTCATTAATAATGTCATTCAATAATATTAAATTAAAATCGTCTATATTCATTTTAAATACTTATATTAAATTGTTATCACCAAACTTAAGTTCCTAACCGATATGAACACACTACCGATTCTAGGTTAAGTTTGCTTCTTCTCTCGGTAAATAGTAGGGGAACTTCTAGTTCTCTTGGGAGCAGCTCCCTCCCTTAATATTTTTTCAAGAATACAGTATGACACATTTGGTAGAAAACCACGCCCACTTCCCTAGGAAGTTCTACTCCCTGCAATTCAAGAATTGAGGCCAGAAAACATCGCTGCCGTCCAGAGCTCTCCGTTGAGCAGTCCTAAAGACATTCCGCCAGTGATGGACGTCACCTAGAGGATATAATTATTGAAACCTAGGCAATAAACCTTAAAATGCACATTTGTTAAAGAGTAAAAAAGATTGTTCTATCTTACTGGTACTTTTTTATTTACTATTAAAATGTGAGAATCCATTATGTCGCACCCTGTATTATTGGGGTTTTTGTTTTACATGTGCAAATCCAGTTTCTAATTAATTTCAAATCTTCCCATTAATTATTTTGTTGCATTTTAGTGAAATGCAACATTAGTTCTGTTGACAATTACAATTTTTAGTATCATATCTGTGATTTTTATCCATCAAGATTATAATTGCCTATTTGAAGGAAAGATACTCGGAAAGTCTTCAATAAATTATCTTAAGATATTACCTGCTCAGTGTATAGTGATTCTATTGTGAAAACGCGCACAAGCACAAAGCAAATATATTGACATGTGTATATTATGATTATGAGTCTGAGGCGGACAGATATTACTAATTTTCAGGCGTAATAACTTTTACGATACATAAACCTCTCATGATTTTTATTCGTCTCAATTTCAATGTAAGTAGACGACATTTTTATTTCATAGTTTTAAAGACAAACGGTTTATTAAATAGTTTTGAGAAACGTTTTACATTATAGTCACCCTTATGATACATATAAATACTTACCGTAATTTATTGCGGGTGAATGTTGCTCGTAATCATCCATTTTTTAGTTTTTGAAATTTTTTTAAAAATTCAGTACGAATAGATTCCTCTGAAATAACTTGGACCAAAAGCTACTATTAAAAAATAGATGAAGGGATTTATCTTTGAAGTAATGTAGCTATAGCGAGTCAGCAAAATACAACTAACAAATTGCATTGGGAGGATTCTCATAATATAAACTTGCACTTCCCCACTTGATCAACATCCCATATTTCGTATTTTTATCCCGGATTCAGCTTACACGTTCCGTAAGTTATCGAACGTTCATGGGAACTCCTTTTCCCCACATGCCGTTCTAGAAACCTAAGTGAAATTACTTATTTAGAGCAGTGGAATAATGATGTCATAATTAAATAACGCGTGACAGGTCTTTTTCCACATAATCAGAAATACGAGCAGAATTCCGCGCCAGTTTGCTACATAAATGGCGATGTGCATAAATTTAATGCACAACAAAAACCGCCTCGACGATACACTGTGCTTTAAATTATTTATCATTTTTCTGAAAAGTGTTATAACGATATTAAATTAATTTGTTGCGTAGCAATTGTAGAATTGACATTTTGTTCATATATGGTTAGCGTATCGATTTCTATTCAAATATTATATAATTTGGTCATTAAAGTTGGATGAAAAGTGAGAACTATTGCCCGGAAGGTTTAAAATACTAATTATTATCTGATATTTCCTTCTTTTGTCTCATCATTTTTAGTAGGTCGACGAGATTTATTACCTTACCGAGTTGGGGAAGCTATACACTATACCACATGTTATTTTTTTCTAAACAGTAATAACAATTAAACTACTAACTACTAAGAAAGATTTCCAAACAAAAGCAGCATGTAGATGTAGCAATTAAACGGAAGAAAATTTATTTGAAATTATTTGTGGTTAATATTTTTAGGTTTATATTTATTTTCGGAATACTTGATTTTGCTCGCCTCTCCTCCCAGTCCTCTCCGTGAAAAGCGGTGCGCGGATCGTTATCGTTTCACTTTATTCCTGAAATTTACCGATTTCGTTTTTATTTTTTTTCTGCTATTTGTTACAGGTCCATTTTTAGTTTAGTTTTGCTTTAGTTATTTTGATTTTTAGGTTAGGAATTTGTTTATTTTGTTTTGATTTTCATCACATAGGCGTGCCTATTTTCTTAAATTTCTTCTTTCGATTTCTTCGCTTCTTTGGATTCTTGCTCTCTTCTTATAATTGTATTTACCTTTTCACGCTTTAAACGCTTTTTCTTTCCTTACTGTTTTCACTATTCTAATGTTCGAAGCTTATGTGTACTATTTTATTCCATGTTACGCCTCTGATGGTCCGCTTTCAGTGTCATCTATTGTCAGTTCTTGTAAACTACGCTATTCTTTCCCGCTCTGTTCAAAAACCTATTCTTCTTTTCCCGCTAGCTTTTTATGTTCCTTAATTATTGGTATTACTGTTCGTTTTTTTCAAAATCTTCTACGTTTTCGTTTCCGTTTTGGTCAATTGTCAATTGTATGGTGTGCTTGTGAGGTGCGGAATTTTTGCAGCCGCTTTTATCCGACAATTTTGGGATTTCTACCCTCGTCATAAAGTCTCCACTCATTACCAGGAATTGGTATTTCTTCCTTGGAAACCCTATTTTGGGGATTAAGAGTGGAAGAGGAAGCGCATTTGTATTTGTGAACTTACCTACAACCAATATATATATGTTACCCTTGCTCGCCGGATTTCAACCCTTGTGTAAGTATTTTTGTTGTCTGTATCCTTTTCTATTTCTTCGTTGTCTCTTAGGATCCGAGCTTTATTTCACCGTCCACCAATTTAATTGAGCCTACATACATATCTATATATTGTCTCTACGTTAAGGCCCACACCATCTCGTAAGTAGCCTTTTTGTGATAGTTGTAGCTCGTAATGTTAGGTTTTTGTTCTAGGGCCTTGTAGTTTTAGTTATTTTTGTCTATACTTGTTATACGTACCTATCTACTACTAAGAAATCTTCGTCTTCGTCCATCTCCAGTCTTCAGTCGTCCGTCTTCAATCTTCAGTCGTCCGTCTTCAATCTACAGTCGTCCGTCTTCAGTCTTCAATCTTCTTTCGATACCCTCAAATTTCTTTTTCCTTGTTCCCTTCTACCCGCATCCCTATCCTTAATCTGCCCTGTATTTAGCCACTGGTCTACCACCGCCAAGTCCGCCGAACAACTGCTGGACAATTTCAGGAGCCAGAACAGCTAAGTTATCTATTTACCTTAAAAAAACCGTTAAGTTTATTTAAAAAAAAACACCCATCACATTAATTCAGCCACCCTACATCATAATAAGTAATTTAGTCAAATTTTATTGTTTACTGTGAGACGAGATCTCGTACCGTTTTCTTTTTTTTTGCCGTTATTTCCCTGTTATCATTCCGTGCCATTATCAACCATCATCATTCGCCCTACAATATCTGTGTTAAATTCTTGATTTCCTTGAAGAATAAATACCTTTTCTTTCCCGCTATCTTTCTCTATTTCTTTTTTTTTATAGTTTTACCCCTGCATTTCCAGACCAACAGGAACAGATTTCTAATTTTTTTCCTGTACGGCTTGGAACTATCGAAAAATTAGTGGCGCCTAAATTTTGGGAACATTTATAGCTATTTCTTCCAGAATCGTCGAACCACCCCTACCACCGAGAGCAGCTGGAGCTGGGTTTCTTATTTCCTCCAGTTTTCTTCGTCACAACAGACAAAAAAAACACTTTCTCATTGTCGCTTTTTGAGATCTACAAGACACTGTTGCAACGGTTTGTTTCGGAGAAATCGTCATCCACTTTATTTGCTTATTATAACCCTTATATAACGGTAAGAAGTCTAAAAATGTCGATACTTCGAGGCGCCATGAAACATTAGTCATCGGTGACAAAGAACGAAGGCGGGTGTGATATAATCTTTCCGAGAAATATGAGGTACCTATTTTATTCTAGAATGTTCGCGATCGCTCGGAAACACTCGACTTTACTATATAAACAAATCGGATTGCGTTACAAGTTATAATTTCTACTTCGATGCGTTCTTGTTATGATGTAAATTGTTAGTGATAAATTGTAATTACTGTTATAGATTAATCAATTTTAAGACTGTTGTAAATATATTGTTAATTAATAGTTATAAATAAACGACGGAATTAAATTTACGTTACAGTACATTGAGTAGCATTTTTTATTACAAATATGTAAGTACACGGTTAGTCAACGATTGCGCGGAGTAACTTAATGCCTTGAAGATAAGATTTTTCGATAGAGTGCTTTTGTATTATGATATGGTTGAATATTCTCCACATTTTAAAAATATTTGGAATTATACAGGGTGCGCCCACAAAGTATAGCGCCCAAATGGTACATTTTAAGGGTTGGGTTAAATAAAAGCAAATAAATACATCTACTATGAAACATTAAAAATATAGCTTACAGGGTGTTTTTTTGGTAGGTCCAAAGTTGCAAAACTACATATTAAAAATCTCACTTTTTTAAATGGAACACCCTGTATATTTTTCTGTCATCGTTTAGCTCCTCCAAAAACCTTCAACTTTTGATAATAATCCCTATAACTATCTCTAATAGTTTTCGAAACATCTTGGTTTTCCTGGTTTTTATATTCTAATCTTAAATTTAATAAGTTATATGTAATTTACATAATAGTGAGGTGGCCATGCAAAAAAAGGCAATTTCTATCTGCCATATGATGAAACAGTTTTTTTTAATGATTATTTTATATGAAGTTGATTTCAACAAACTCGAGAGAGTTTCAAAAGTGCAAATCTTCCTCACGTAGTGTAAACTGTTAATTGGATTTTCAGTTTTGTGTAGAAACGAAAATGTGCCGCGGAGAAATTTTATTTAAAATTCAAATTAATTCGGTTGGCGAACACATTCCGTTACAGCACAAACAATTTTGGTGAAATTAAATCACGATTATTTCGATATAGGCTAAAAGGCAAACCAATCAATCAACTAGGCACAATACGTTAACATTTAAATTACGGAACAGCAATTTAAAAAGGCTGTCAGCGTGTCAACAAATATGGCTATGCGCTCGTGTAAATCGTCCCATTTTCAAGTCAGCCATACCTTCATTTCTCTTCTGTTCCGTCGAGATATCCCGGCCGTGTAATTCACCAAACTATCAATTTTCGTCTTCCACCCACGTCACATGCCAAATATATCGAGTAGAAAAGACTTCCGCTTAAAAAAATGCTCATGACTAATACAACGAAACGTAAGATAAAAAGAAATTTATTTATTAATTGACCACTTTACGACTCATCAGTTAGTACCTTCAAAAATGAATGATTAACGTTTCCCTAGGATTAAAAATAGACGCTTTAGTGAAATAGGAGAATGGAGGCATTTTCACATTTCAAATCTGCATTTGTGTTTTACTGCCAAGAATTCGTTAAAATTATATATAGAGCGAGCAGGTGTTAAGGCAACATATTAAAGTGAATAAGCTCGAGATGCATTTATTCCATTGTAGAAAATCAGCGAACTGAAACTCCTAAGATCTTCTACGATGTTTGTTTAACGCGTTCCAAGTTTAGGAAAAAGTGACGACGGATTATATAATAAACAGGACTTCTCTGTAAAGTGTCAAGCAAGCAACACATGTGAAGTGAACTGTTTAAATTTCCAATAGATTTGTTTATCGACCGTTTAATCACGACCCAGTTGCCATCCCGGTTTTCTTCGGGTCAAAAAATCGGCCATGGCGTACAGAGGATTTACTTTCATCATCCATAAAACCTAATTTTCTTCTTTCTGATCCTCCGACTAACCACGTGCACATAAACATAACGTGCCTAAATATGGAATGAGGTGTGTCGTGAAGATGATAAACTACTCCTACTGATATACTATCAAACTAAGAACAAGACCTACCCACATTCTATATCTGTACTGTACAAATAATACAGATATTAGAATCACTATAAGAGCCATTTATTTCAATCTCTTTCCAGTTTAAATATGCAGATGCTGTTTTATCGGAATAAAATTAATTGAAATATGCATCGCTTGTGACTTTTTGCGTCAGCGCGAAATCCCGTTCGCTCTTAATACGCCAACGTAGGCACGATGTTATTTCTTCTTAAAATGGGGTTGCAAATTTCAGTTAGTAAATCATTCGACTTCCTATCCGCAATCCGTTTAGATGAAGTCACGAGCTCCAGACTTTCATCGACGGATGATGGATGGTGCTGCCAAACTCTGTAGATTTGCTTCTGCATTTAGCGATTTTAGCAAATTTTGTTTTGTACGTTAAGGGCGGATTTCACCCCCTCGGGCAGTGACAAAATGAATGCCAATTATTTTGGTAGAACTAAAGATGAGTCTTAAAAGTTTTAACATAAAGGGCATTTGAAATCTTTTTTTCATGGATGTTACACAATAGTATATTGTACAATGGAGTCGGACCTCCTTCGAACGGTTGCTAAAAGAATGCCAATTTTTGGGTACCACTAAACATGAATATTAACGATTTAAGAAACATGGGAATTTTCGGGGATGTTAAACGAATTTTTTCGTATATTACAAGCGGATCTCATTCTCTAGGATGGTCGAGAAATGTATGCCAATTTTTTGGATGTACAACGGGGCCCGTTAGGCTGTATGTAGGTAGGTAGGCTGTTTAAATAGGTCATCTACGTATCTTCTTTGCAATCCACTAGTTAAAATGTAAGTTAATTTCTATAGTGTAAATTATTCTTGTTGTAGTACTCCTTTTACGTAGTTCTTTATTCTCGAGTAATAGATTTCTTTCACCTAGTTATTTCCTTCGCCGGCAGAGCTCGTTGCTATCCCTTCTTTAATTCAGTATTGCGCACAGTTCTGCCTTCGAATTGATTACTTGCATCTCTTGGTACGCCATTATTTTTACTGGTCACGGCCTTACCTTTAATAGAATTTATTGTTCTTTGAAGTGATTTCTTTCTTTCTCTTTGATGTCTATGGTGGCTCCATTGAAACGTTGTTACGTAGTAGTATTTATATTTGAACAATTCAAGGTATGTTACTTGATTACCCAGCATTATTTCCTTAATACGTGTTATTTTTTTAGGGCTTTAACTTTTCTCACCCCTTGCTTACAATTTTCTTTTAAGTTTCTCATCGTTATTTCTTTTTTATTTATTAACTTTTACGTTGAGCTACTCTACTTGGATATTACGCATCACCCAGGCAGTACGGTGACGATTTAGCATTTTTATTTGGACTCGCCATTTTAGTAACACAGCAAGAGAGACGAACGACGCCTGGATGTTTCTACATTACCGGCTGGGAAAAATTGTGCTTCGATTCTATCAAAAAGTGGATTCTACCTGTGACCGAATTAAGTTGTTCCTGAATTGTAACCGCAAGTATATTAAAGAAACCTTGGAGAAAATTACGGGTGTATAGCGCTCCGTTATACCTGATATTACGTACTTTGTTTTTGTCGTTACCGAAGATTTGATTTTACCGACAACCGATCTTGTCTACCATTACTTTGTGACTAAGAAGATTTATTCCGGATAGTTTGATTACGTTATAACCTTTATATTAGTTTGTGATATGTGAGATTTTAGCTCCCGTTGCTTTGTGAGTTAGTTTGTGAAGTTACCGAAGCCTTTGACCGAAGCCGATATCTACGATTCTTAGGTACGTTGTTTGTTTACTCCTAAGACTCGACTCATATTAGACATTATCTTGTTTATCTTTGAATTGCTTGTATTGCATGAACTGAAGTATGTCCAATAAAAAAAAAATAAAAAAAACTGTAGGGACAGTCGTAGTCGGACAAATTTTGCTATTGCTAGTGTAAAGTCATTCGAATTATTGATTGTTTTTGAATATTGATTACAGTTTTAGCATACCTTTATCCTCCGTGTCAGACGTTAGCATTTCTATTTCGCAATATTATGTGCAGCGCGATTCACTAACCCTTTAGTTGCTTGTTGTGAATCTGTTACAGATTTGCAGAACGCGGCTTTCTGAGCTCAAAAG